TGAGTCGCTAGGCACAGAAGCTGCTTGGCCTTTTCTCTGTTTGTTTCGTCCCTTTTTTTTTTTTCATTTTTTTTTTTTTCAATGTATTTATTTTTTCCCCCCGGCCCTTCCCCTTATCCCTTTGTGTGTGGAAGGGACGGAGCAAGTTGGCCATGTACATTCAGCTCATTTACTCCCTTGATTTTAAATTGAAACACAAGAAGGGGTGTTATAACAGTGTAACTGATGCACTTTTTTTTCAGGCCTGATACATTTGCTGCAATCACACAACTTGTTTGGAGACTCCACTCACTAGGCTATTGCTGATGTGTTACCTTAGGACCCTGTCTTTGGCTCTATCATTAGGAATCTGTAGACAGATCGGAATTCTGAGCCAGGCTATGCCTTGACTTCATGCCTCCTGTACTCCATTAGTGAGGGGGAGGTACGTTTGTGCATCCCTAATGATCGCAAGTTTAGAGGGTCATGATGCTTGTGGTCATTTTGGGTTTCTAAAGACTTATGATGCCTTGACCCAACACTCCTGGGCAAAAGATGAAAGAGGACATACTCCACTACTTATGGACTTGTGAAATGTGCCAAAGGAATAAGGTCTATAGATGACCTCCGACTGCTCAAACCCTTACCTATCCCTGGAGGTCCAGGTGAGTCTGTGTCTATTGATTTCACTGATTTGGGCAAGACCACCCCTCGTGGGACGAGACAGGTAGTGGTATGCATGCAGACTTTATCCCATTGCCTGCGGGGGCAAGAGTATCTCTAGTCAGAGAGGTATACTCTTAGGGTGGGCGAGCGTGCATGGGCACCCAACCTCTATTGTGAGCTACAGAGACCCACGGTTTTGCAGCGATGAGTGGCGGTACTTCGGTCAAGACGATCTCCACTCTAGACTTGACATGACATCTGGTAGGTATCCTAAAGCCAATGGTGAAGCTGAAGTGATGATCCAGATCTTATTTCAGCTGCTGCGCCCTGTGATCACTCTAGATCAACAGGATTGGGACAAACATTTGTCCAGGGCTTAACTCATGTACAACGCATCTATTCACAACACTACTGGTTTCACACCCTACCATACTACACTGGGGTAGAGACCCTAGACAGCCTCTTGATGGTCTCATTGGCAAGGCCAAGCCCAAATTGACTTCTGGCACTGCAGAATTGCCAAGGGCTATGAGGAGGACTTGGAGAGGGCAAGGACTAACATGTTTAAGTCCCATGAGATAATGATTGAGCAAGCTAACGAGCACATATTGCCTTCTCCAATTTGTTCTGGGCATTGGGTGTGGGTGAAAAAATCTGAGTTGTTTGATGAACAAGATATTTCCAGGAAGTTGTTGCCTGTATATTAGGGCCCATTGCAGGTTTTGGATACAGTGGGCGCAGATCCGTTTGGTTCATCTTATGTGCTTCCTGTCCCTCCACACCTTTAGACATATCCGGTCTTTTATGCATCCAGGTTTCTGCCTTTCACACTAGTGGATGCATATTTGGACCAGCCTCCCCAATTCGGCCCACCCATTCCTAGGAAAGGGTACAAATTTGAGGAGATTTTGGACCAGTGGGGCACAGGGCCCGACCATGAGTACCTTGTGAAGTTCTGTTTTCAGCCACATACAGAAGGTCGCTGGGAGACGAAGAAAGAACTTCTCAAGTCAGCCAAGTCCATTGTTTTAGCCTATGAAGGGGTACAGACAGGACAACAGCCCATATGTTCTCCATGTGGGCACTCCTAGCTCGGGGTCCTCGCTCGTCGGGAAGGAAGGAATGCAATGAATTTGCAGTTAACAGCGGGTGTACAACTGTTTGGCTGTTTGTTTGTTTTCATGCTTTTTTTTAGCCCCACAGGACCTGATCCCTCGACCTGCCATTTGCTGGGTTCCCTGTTGTCTTTAGGCCTGTAAGTCTGCCCTTTTTAAGACTACTAGGACCCGTAGTTTTGTCGTTTTTCTGCCTTTTCCCCTGTACGCCTGTAAGTCTGTGTCTCACTGTTGCATACCGTATAGGTGCAGACCAGAACAAGAACCGACCTTTCAATACAAAGTATAAGATAGCACAGCGGAAGACTTAAATACCAATGATCCGAACAATCTATATTGCAATGCAGCCCCGAACATTCATCATTATCATCATGGTGTGAAGGGGTCTGGCGCTTCACACAAGAAGACTGCGCCAGCCCCAACCATACACAGACGAAGGAGGTGGGGTTAGAC